TAGTAATTGCAGCTTTCATACATTTTCTTTCAGTATCAATCTTTCGAGCTCTGAACATGTTATTTAAGATGCTACTCTTATTGGCAGTTCCTTAAAAAAATAAAATTGTTTAGGTAGATATCTCCCTGCTGGAGCAGGGGGGTTGGACTAGATGATCTCTAGAGGTCCCTTCCAACCTTAAGCATTCTGTGATACCCTGACTGCAGAAAACATGCTTCCAAAGATCTGGTCCTGAGCTAGGTCTACAACAACAAGAAGTGTAACAGCTTTTCTTTTTTCTTTTCTCTCTCTTTTTTTTTTGATGTAGACTTCAAGAGTCAGAGAGATCAATATCAAAAGCAAACATACAGAGACATAGCTAGAAAGGCATTTGCTTACAAAGGCATCTGACCCAGATGGACTTACTTCTGATCTTTCCAGCCATGAGCAGTTTTATTAAGCTAGTGGGCCCTTTGCACAAGAAATGCTTCTCCTACGTAAGGCCAGGACCCTATTTCCTCAAAGCTACTGAAGCTGATGTTTTCACTATAAACAGTTGGTGGTTTTGGAGGCCTTGTAACAAACCGAACATAGATAGTCAAACTTGATGTCTCAAGCTAAGAGACCACACTCCAGACAGATCTTTCTCCCCTAGGCAGGGAAACCTTCTTTCCAAGATGGGAAACTATATCTGGTTTCATGCTCATGCTTCTCCTGATGAAATGCTGACATGTATCCAGCAATTATTTTTAACACCATCTGGCAAGGCATGGGAATAACCACATTATCAGCCACGAAGGTCCAGACAGCAAGTATCAGAGAATGCACCTCTTCAAATTGACGGGATTCAGGTTGCTCTGCAAAGCCTGTCTTGCTGCTGTGCACTGCATGCTGGTGAGCTCCTACCTGCTTGTGTAACAGGACCATACCATGTCTCCAAGTCTCCTGCACCGTGTCTACAAGACTCCTGCATGTCATGCAAATACTGACTGATCAAATGAGGCCTGTCAGCTTAATTTCTCTGCCTTGACATACTCCATGGGGTGTGAGCACAGTGCTGGTTCACTGAATGTGAAGTCTTTCCTTTTGTTGCCTTATTGCAAGCAAATAATGTTGCTTGCAATCAAATTGAATGCTGATATTGCTAAGCCAGTTCTGAGCCAGCACATGATAATTACAGCTGGAAAGAACATTTGCTCTCTAAGAATCAGCTAGTGAAAATCATATTAAAATCAATGTAAACATCAACACATTAGGCCTTTGTGTTTTCTGAATATCATCTATTTGGTCTGGCTAATTATCTGCATTTGTAAGTGTTACTGGTCAATCCAGTACCAGACAGAATTTCCTAAAAGGCTAAAACAATACCTGTTTTTTTTTTTTAATTTATTTAATTAACCTTGTCAAATGCAGCACATGCACAGGCGCACACACAAGCACACTTACATGCAAGAAAATAAATTTTTACTCATACAAACACTTACATATTCGGTCTCTTGTTTAGATTCAGAGGAGAAATTCAGTGTATCTGTACTTTGTGAATCATATTCCACTTTGTAGCGCCGTGTATTTTTGGCTTGCTCTTTCCTGATGATATCTATTTTGACGTGCTGCGGGTGCGATTTGGAATCTGACACCCTGTGGGAGTTTGGGAAGGCCTGGTTTTCTATGCTACTGCTACTCCGGTCTTCCTCTGAATCACTGGAATTTCCTTCAGATAGAAAAAAAGAAAAAAAATGAAGTGAAGAAGGTGAAGAAGAACTGTTAATCATCCACCAATTAAGTTGAGAGCACTAAATTGGCCTTTAAATTTTATTTGCAAAATAATAACATATAAAACCATGAACAATTCTGTATTGTGAATGCAACAGCAACTTCACTGTTAAGTATAAAAAATAGTGATGTCTTTTTATATGAAGAAACTCTTTACTCCTAGTGTATCTTTTCAAGTGCTGCTGCATATTAACCCTTTTTTTTCCCAATTAATCACTGAAAAGCTCTTCACATCACTTGAATTTCAAATCCTCTTTAATTCAGAGGTGCTCAAGCTTCTTACTGTTGCTCTCCACAGAGTTTTCCTGGTTTGCTACCAGGAGGGGGCAGCTCTGCACCATACCCTGCCCCTTCCCAGACTTCGGACCAGCATCAGAAATAACTCTGTTAGCAACTTCATCAATGCTAGATACACAAAGGATCCAAGCAATTTATTCCTAACCTAGAGCAGATTTAATGAAGTTTAATTAAATACAACTAACTCAGGAAACTTATTGGGTTTCATGTGACTCTTTTTCCTCCCCAGGAAAGTAATTAAGAAAAAAAAAAAAAAAAAGGCGTTAATACAAAAAATCCTACCGGTTGAGCTCAGTGGTTCTAATTAACCATTTTTAACAGTGCTTTTCTTTCTTAACATTACTCCCCAGACTGAATGGGAAAGAAAAATAAAGTGGCATGCTGCATTCTTAAACTGTTTAAAATTAGAAACATTTCTAGGTGTACAAAACAGACCAAAAAAAAAAAAAAAAGCCATTCGTTCTGCAGTGGTGTCAAAGCACAAACATCTGCTTTCATTCCGAGCTTTGAAAATATTTTCTCTTTAAACTACCACCCGTGAAACTACAGAAGAAACACGTTTTCCCCCTAAATCCTGCAAGAGCACACTGTTCCTTCACTTTCTGAGCTATTTGTCTACCCTGCATTTCTCCCAGAGGAGCCTCTTGCAGTGTAACTGTAACTGGCTGTGTTTCCTCCAAGGAATTTTTTAAGTTTGTATCTTTGACCTGCTAAGTTACACTAGTTGCTGCTGCGTTTCAGTTCCATGGCTGCTCACCGCTTTCTTTTTTTTTATTATTTTTTTTCTCATTTTTCCTCTTATAGGAAATAATCTTGGGAGTGCACAGTGATAACCTGATGTGCACAGAGCATGATGGAAATCTCTATTATAAAGCCATGCTCCACAGCTCACTGAGAAACCACAGAAGCCTTGAATAAAACGAACACTGTGCCTAAAAGGCCACGCTCATGTAGCCCACAGAGTTGGGACCCAGTGGCTCTGGCAACACACAGGCACAGGGAAGGGACACAAGGAGGGGGGATCAGAGCTTATGTTCTGGTGCCAGTGGTTTTAGTGCAGCCACTGCTGGCAATAGACATAACTGACTGGGAAAATCCAACTCCCGGCGCAAATGGATTAAGGAAGTTTAAGTCTTAAGTCTAAATTTCCTGGCTTTTGTGGGTTTAGCTCAAGACTCTCAGCGGTATTTGAACATATTTCTGGTGGTTTAATGTCCTGTTTTGGAACAGGGGTATTTTTTTTCCATGCTCTTAATGAAATGTGCAAGAAGAGGGGACACAATAGAAGGTCAGAAATCTGGATCTCCTATATATAAATTCTATATTGCCCACTAGGTTTTCTGCAGTCAGTCCTGTTCATTAGCTTTCTGGGTTTACCAAAAATAGGTGGAAAGTATTCTTAATGCACATTAAATAATCAGCAGGCTGATCATTTTGCAGTTTGTACAAACCCACACACCTAGACAGCACTTCTTACATCTCGGCAGCTATAATGTCACATTGAGTCTGCAAAGCACATTCTGACAACTTGGCCCTAAAAACCTGCTGCCATCTTAGCTTTACATCCAGCCCTAATGGTAACAACAGTGCTCTATGAAAAAGTGACTTGCCCTGTTTCAGAAAACATACTAGGAGGGTTGCATAAGCATACTACATCATCTCCTTTTAGTGCCCAGAAAACTGAACTTGTAAAAGAAGTCCAATGGCCTACTATATTTAGTATTAAGAAGCTAGTGTAACACACACTGCGCGCACTACGATTTTTTTTAAGGTGGGGGGATTTTTTTTTTAAAGCAATTTCTGCAAATTAGTAATGACAGAAAGTGCAGTATATGATGCAGGCCTAGCTGTGCATCAGGGAGGAGGCCTGACCCTGGCCAGAAGGGGTTTACATCATACGGACCTTGGCTCCCAAGCGTGGGATTTGGGGATGAAACGCTAGCAGCCTCACTAAAGAGTCAGGCATATGGACTCAGGATATTTGTTCCCTCTCAGACAGGGAGTTTTCAACATTCAGGCCCTGAGTGGGAATGGCAAGGGATCCACTTCCCACTTTTTTAAGCAATCAGAGCTCCAACTGATTTCAAAAGAGGCGTGCTCCCAGAGCCAAGAATGCACAAACAAGAACTTGGTATCTGGATCATTTATGCTGAAGCTGGAAAAAATTTTGGTGGGGAACACAAGCGCAGCTCTACTGTCCCCTTTCTCCCTGCCTAATCCATCACCCATACCAAACAAAAACTCTTCATTAAACAGTGTCGAGTCTCAGCCCTCTGGAGGGAGCCTTCCCCTCATCTCTCAGCTCCTCTGCAGGCTTAATATGCAAAGTCAAGTTTGCAGAATGGAGGAAGAGGCTTCAGCGAGATTTAAAATTTCAATGAGCACCTTTGAACCCGCACTCATTCAGATGGTCCCAGCTCTAGAGCAGCACATAAATCATTATAATAAGGCATCTCCTAGTGCCAGTGCAGCCAGTTAGCTGGAGTGCCAGTGCCACTTCCTCTCGCACGGCTAAAGAGAGGCCAGCCAGAGTCCCTGCAAGCGGGCAGAGAGGAACGCCAGGCTTTCTAAAAATGCAAACAGTGGAAAGCCTTTTGACACGCTTTTCTATTAAATAAATGTTAACATACTTGCTGTTGGCTAGCAAACAGTTTAATGAAATGTTCGCATAGAGGGACTGTGCTTTCTTGATCCCAATCCCAAATTTCCTTGCCTCTGAAGATTCCAAAAGTGCACGCTAACAGGACTTTTTTTTTTCCAGTCTTCTCTGACTCTTAAATCACAACAAAAAACATTCTATGAACATCTCTGTGCAAGACATGCAAGAGCTATAGGAAGGTTTTCCTGGACTGAGCACGTATTTGCAGTGCGGGGGGAAAAATAATCATAGCATCCTCTCAAAATTATTTTTGTGCAAACGCTTTGTTTGGAATAACCACCTTCCCAAGCTAGGACTGTACTTAACAACTCCACATCCTTCTTCTTCCCCTCCGCCCCTTTTTTCTTTCTTTTTTCCCCATTTTTGCCCCTCTCCCCGGGTTTCTTTGGGGCTGCAACAGTCAGCTCCACACTTCTGCTTCTTCACACGCTCTTTCGAGGAAAGCGACTCCACCATGAGCCTCTCACCTTCCTCCCTGCATGACACTCAGCACAGCAGCCATGCTGGTGCCCATCGCAAAAGCAAAGTGCAACTCCTCCAGATCATTATTATTATTATTACTATTACTGTTAAAAGGGCAACTGTGGCTCTTCTGCTAGGCGCAGGTTCGCACCAGTGGTGTTCATGAAATAAAGGCAGTAGAGAAAATCGAAAAGGAGGGGCTGAGGGCGCACGCTCTGTTGCTGCAGAGACTCCCGACTCGGCGCTTGGCGTGCGCGAGAGCGCACAGCCCCGCGCGCAACTTGCTTGTCGCTCCCCGCCGCCCTCCTCGTGCCTCCCGCTGGGAACGCGCATGCAATGTGAGTGTCCCCCTGTCCTCGCGCCGGGTCTTACCTGCGGCGTGCGCGCCGGACATCAGAAAGGCGCGCAGTTTCCCGCCCACTGTGGCGTTGGCGCAGAGCCCGCGGCCCTCGAGCAGCGCCTGCAGCGGGCGCGCCTCGTCGTGGCGTGGCTGGCAGCTGAGGCCGGCGCCACAGCGCTCGCTGTAGATGCCGCACGGCTGGCCGACGCGCAGCGCACACGTGAAGCAGCAGCCGCAGCCCGGCCACCGCCCGCGCCCCG